TGATCTTCATGTATCACGGGCTTTGTTAATATAGTCAAATCATATGGTGTTTTCCCCTCTCTATCTTGTTGTGATGAATTGAGTTTTCCCTCTTGAGATTCAATTCTTATCGGATTGAATACTTTTATGGATTTGAGAACACTTAATGTATGTCTTGCTATGAATACCCATGGTGACAATGGGGTATCATATTGATTCATTTGATAGGTGTTTTGGCACTAAACTCGCGGATTTCCAAGGTGACATTGGGGTAATCTATGCATAGGTTTGATGCACGTTCTCGTCTTTGTTTCTCCGATAGAAATCTTGGGGCACTCTTTGAAGTTTTTTGTGTTGGATTGAGTATTATGAATCTGAAATTGTTTGATGCATATCATATAATCAACTCACGGATACTGGCGGTGACATTGGAGTATCTATGTGACATTAGAGTTGGTTGATGTGTATCATATGGTGTTATTTTAGTACAAACTCTTGGTTAGATCAATCGGAAAGAATAGCTTGGTGTTATTTTAGTATGAACTCTAGGATAGAATGATCGAAAAAATAGCTTAGAGGTGGTTCCGTACCCTACAAACAATTTCTTCTTACGTTCTCCGCTAGATAGGAACTTTGGAGTGGTTCTCCATCGCACATTGAGGGCTGGTTATATGATCCAATTATATTAGCACCATTGAGAGATTTCACTAGCAAAAGTACGAACCCTAGGCCTCATTTTAAAGCATTGCAATACCGTTTGTGCTCCGTTTTATCAATTGCTACCTTGCTGTTCTTTTATTGTTACTATTACAAAAATCAATATCTATTATCCATATTACACTTGTATCACCATCTATTCGCCGAACTAGTGCACCCATACAATTTACCATTGTATTTGGTGTGTTAGGGACATAAGAGACTTTTTATTATTTGGTTGCAGGGTTGTTTGAGAGAGACCATCTTCATCCAACACCTCCCACAGATTGATAAACCTTAGGTCATCCACTTGAGGGAAATTTGCTACTGTCCTAGAAAATTCTGCGCTTGAAGGCCCAACATGAATCTACAAGAACAAGTTGTGTAGTAGACATCACTACGCACGGCATCTTATATGGAGACATCAAGTCATGCATGCTACCGGCAGGTGATGCACGGTGGCTCTGGCGGATGTGTCATGTTTAGCCTTTTGCTGTCAGATCGAAGGTGGTGCGACAGTAGTAGGAGGCAGGTGGTATGGGACGTCTTTGTCTTCTGTTGTCTCCTCCAGAGGTATCCGGCTATCGAGGTGTCGGTAGACAGATAAGTGCGGATGATACAGACGGCTTCAGCGACGAGTTTATGCACTCCGGTGGAAACACAAGATCTTATATGCGAAGTAAAAGAACTGGAGAGAGCACAAAAGAGTGGGACTAAAAGAACTGGAGAGAGCACAAAAGAACTGAAGAGAGCATAAAAGAGTTCAGAGAAAAACCAAATAATATTCACGGATAGGTCTGATCATAAACTCACAATTCACCGGATCCCAACAAACACACCACAAAGAGTCATTACATCGAATAGATCTCCAAGAACAACAAGCAAAATATTGTATTGAGAATCAAAAAAAGAGAAAAAGCTATCTAGCTACTAACTATGGACTCGTAGGTCTGTGGTAATCTACTCATGCATCATCGAAGAGGAAGCAAGGATGATGAAAAAAAACTCCGAGATTGTTTCCCCCTCCGACGGAGTACCAGAGAAGATCTCCAGATGGGATCTCTCAAGAACAGAGGCTTGTGGCGGCGGAAAAAGTATTTCATGGATCAAAACCTCATGGATGGGGACGTTGAGGAAGTGAGAGAGCACGCTTTAGGTGCGGTTAGGGCAGGAATTCGAGCCGAGTCGAGCCAGCTCGGCTCGACTCGCTAGAGCTCGTTCCGTTAACGAGCTAGCTCAACTCGACTCGTTACTATAACGAGCTCAAACCTAAGATTGGTTCGACTCGTATAACCTTGTGGTGGTCCCGCCATCACTAGTGCACGTGCGGCGTTTCCTTCTTGAAGGCATAGCCTAGGATCGAGTTGTGTATTTTGGTTTATGTTGTGTCTTGTATCATAGGAATTAGTGGCTATCTAGGGGAAGTACTGTCGCGAGGTATATGGTGTCAGGGTTTGTTTTCCAACTTATTTCCGGGTCGATGTTGTTCTGCTGCTGAATCTTGCACTTTTAATAATATATGGATGCATGCATCGTCCTGATGCAGAGGCCGGGGCTATCCTCCTTTTCAAAAAAAATATTTTGATGGTGTGATCTGTAATGCTAATTCAATTTTAATATCCGTTGATTGTCTGATCTACAATGTGCTAATGAAGACAAAAACACGGCCACACACTATAAAAATTAAATCAATTTTCAAGTATATTATTTCAAGATCTCGGCCTATTGCAATTCTTAATAAGGCCAACGTGGAAGTTACCAATCCAAGTGAAGTAGGAGACAATTTGTTTCAAAATTACATGAAAATATTCATACATAGAGAATTACCTAGCAACTAGGTTATCTTTCGGTGAATTATTTGTATTTTGATCGTGTTAGCAATTGTAGAGGTAAATTTAAAATAATATAAAGTAGCTATGTTTTAACAGTGTTTAGACAAAACATTACTTTAAAGGGGGACTTTTTTTTGCATTGCATGATTTTTTACCAACTTGGCTTGCCCCTCCCCCCTATACCTAAATCCTTACTCCGCCCCTGACCGAAGGCGCAGTCATCGTCTGATCAGGTAGACCCAGATCACGGGTTTCCCCCGGAACATCTCGATCGAGTTCACGTGACCTGCAACAACAATGCCTTTTCATGTCCGTATGAAGAGTTGACGACGTATCTAGATGGGATCCAAATCGGCGGCCACCTCCATGCCCACCATCGCCGGAGACCTTGGGTTCCGCAGGTCATGGAGGGTAGTGCGGTCGCCGGGCCTGACCCTCCCAGACACGTCCCAGCCGCACCAGGAGATTGCCGCCACGTCTAGATCCCGGTTCCTTCGGCGTCAGGCCCGCGGCCACTGTGGCCTATGCCGGTGGCAGCGGCGGATGGGGAAACATCGGCGAGAGGGTCTCTGGCTGAGCGAGCGTTCGGCCCTGGTGATACGACACGAGGATCGGGTCTTGCGATCTCAGCCTGTCCTCCGCCTTGTCTATGCAATCTGTATGCCTTACTATAGTCGATTTGGCTATGTAGATTGGTTTTTTGGTGACACAAATGCTCTTCTCTTCACGTTATTTTCCGTTGTATGCACTCACTTCGTATGTGGTCTACACAATAACGAGCGTAGTACCAACCATTGTTCAAGATGATGTGTACGCGGTTGGACCATGTGGCTACAGAGGTTGAATGGGAGCATAATCTCCGGATCAATCCACCTTTCGACATAGGAATAGTGTCGGTCGACATGACTATACTGTTGCCGAATTGTCTGGTTTTTTCCTTGTGTTTTGTTAGACTGTTGGTGTTTGGCTGTGTTCATCCTTTTTTGTTTTGAGGGATTTAGACCGTGTGCATCCTTTTTGAGGTATTTGGCTGTGTGCGTCCTAATTATACAGAGACCGGGTGATACTTTTAATGTTTTGTATTTGTTTGATGCTATATTTTGAGATAATTAAAAAACGTTCTTTATTGAAAAAAAATCTCGTGTTTCCGACCGGACAAATCCTTCATATCAACATTCTTTAATTTGCTAAAATTCACTACGCCAAAGAAAAGAAAGAGAGGTGGGAACACAATTAGCTCATGACTTCAGTGACGACTCCGACGCCGACGGTCCTTCCTCCTTCCCTTAGTGCAAATCTTAGGCCTGCATAGCACATAACAGACAGATGAGGTTCAGTAGTACTAGAGCAAATCCCGATGCCGAAAATCTCAAAAGGCACGAAATGTAGGCGAACCTGGTTCGAGTGGAACAGGCAACATCAACTCGAAGATTGCAGTTATATTGTCACCAGGCATAACCATTTTCACGTCCGGAGGCAACTCGATTTTCCCACCGATATCAGCTGTCCTGAAGTAGAATTGTGGTCTGTAATTGGAGAAGAAGGCAGTGTGGCGACCACCTTCATCCTTGGTAAGGACGTAAATTTGGGCCTCAAACTTTTTGTATGACTTTACAGTCCCGGGTTTGCAAACCACCTGATAGTAGGAAATGGTCAGCAAGTGAAATCAGTAATAAAATAAAAGCAGCAAATACTACTGGAAAAGGCACCACATAGTGAAATCAGTAATAAAATAAAAGCAGCAAATACTACTGGAAAAGGCACCACATAGAGATGGTGTCACAAATATGCAAGACCAAACTGAAATCAAAGTATTGCAGCAACAGAAAATAAATTTGAAAAGGCCTGTGCATAGCAAAGATTCTTTAGCGATAAAAGAGGGCAATTTCTTGATACATCTGTTTGTCCAAAGACCTCTACGGCTAAGAGCAAAAGTAAATTTTGATTCAATATCTACATGTTCAACTAAGAACCTGGCTTACTGTGTGATAGATGGCTGTAGTATAACCCGGTTTGGAGGTCATTTGGTGCAGTCCATGTTGACAAATGAAGGCCCACTTATGTGGTAATTCCACGGGGGCACTTTGGTACTTCCGTCATGAGGATTGGAGATGTTAGGTCATCTATAAGTCAGCGGCCTGCTGTTGCACGAGATTGGTATTTATTTTTCCTTTTGGGGGTATTCTTCCCCACTTGAGTGGTTTATTCTTCACCATGAGAGTGTTATGGCTAGGGAGAGTTTGAGAGGGTGATAGGTGAGTGTTTCCTCACCAAATTTACCCATAAGTGAGTGCTTTGTGCTCAAATCTAAGAGGGGATTTGAAGCCTCTCCTGTATTTTTTAGCTTTCAACTTGTATCTTGTTCTCCATAGTGGATGATTGCTCGTGCTACCTCCTGTGGTTTTCCCCACAAGTGTTTCCACGTAAATCTTGGTGTCAACCTCTATATTGGTATTATCTTGCTATGCTTCCTCTTATGTGAGTACTTGTGCCATGGTGAGATGAATCATGCATCGTGTATGTTGATTTGAGTGTTCTTTTGATATGTTGACAATCTTGGTGTATTGATTTATGGTCAATTTATTCTTGCAAGTATGATGCAATCAAATGCTTGGTGGCTACCATGTGTGCGGATATCAAACTATGTTTGCTTGTTGGTGTATGCACACAAGGTGTTTGATGGAATGTCTACAAGAATTAAACTAACCGTTTGGTTCGATTGTCATACGGTTTGCTTACGCTGCACCGTTTAACCTCACTTGTATAAAGTATAATTGTTGTCACTGATGTTATATTTAGTGGAATGCTACCATATTATGGCTATGTCACCACACTTACTAACCTGGCCACGATGGACATCACCACGCTTAAGACCGCGGAGAAGAAGTCCAACATTTTCACCAGCCTGCACACAAGTTGTTTGCACGCTTAAGACTCGGCATCAATCAAGAAAAATGTGTGATCTACTTTCATAATCATTACCTCACCATGATCTATCATCTTTTTGAACATCTCAACACCAGTAACTGTAGTCTTCACGGGATCGCCCTGTGACCAAGAATATGGCCCATCACGGTACATCAAGGTAGAAGCGTAATGGGCAATAAACTTGTGGAACAACTAGAAAACTAGTGCCACCAGTCTTGGCCTAGTGTTGCAGCTAGTGCTTATGTGTGCATATAGGAAATGGCAGTACACAACAGTTGCATAAAACTAATCGAATTAATGCAAAAAATCATTATAGGCCAGCCATAGGCCAGAGACATTGTCAGGCATTAATAAAAGAAATAAATCAGGTTCTAACTCACCTCCGTCAAACCTATGACCTCAACATCCTCACCAGTTTCAATCATCCCTTGTTCAATACGTCCGGTCACTACAGTAGCACAACCCTGCAAATTAAAACCAATTAATCAATATTAGAATTAGCCGGCAATGATAAGATCAGGCAAGACAAAATGTATGATTTATTTATGGAGCTGATGATCTCAACTTCTTAAGGATAATGGCATTCCTAATTATACCAGTAGAACACACAGAAATAATTACTGTGATGGACAATTTTTAAGTTTGGAATTGAGTACACAAATATTGTGAGACATGTGTTTCAACGCTTGAAGGTACAGTGCAGTGCTGAAGGGCCTGGTTAAGTTAAACAGAATGTGAACTGAAGACACCCTAATTGTTATTATTTTGCAGGGAGAAGACACAACTATTAAGAATGTCTACTAGTATTATCGAAGTGTCCTAACACCATATTTCATAGTACACCTATCATCGAACAATGGAGATGCTTTGATTCTCGTACGTACTAGATACTCCCTCCGTTCCGATTACTCGTCGTCGTTTTAGTTTAAATTTGAACTAAAACCACGACGAGTAAATCGGAATAGCTAGGATTTCCTACAGTCAAACATCAGAGTGAAAATGTAACACGAATAATTGTATATCACAGTGGTTAGTGCAGCAATCAGAAAATCTAATCACCTGAATTGAGAAAATTCCTTCAACTGGCATCAAGAAAGACTTATCAAGCACCCTCACAGGATCTGGGATGTATGAATCGACGGCATCCATCAGTTTTAAAATAGCATTCTTTCCGGTCTCCTCATCTCTTCCTTCCAAGGCTACCAAAGCAGATCCACGGATGATAGGAATCTCATCGCCGGGGAACTTGTAGAAACTGAGGAGCTCTGCAGGAAAAAGGGAGACAACAAAGTTACTTTACCACAGGAGCATAATCGACCAACCAAAAGCAAAAGTGGGGAACTGAAAAATGTTAGCATACCTCGAATCTCCATCTCCACTAATTCTATTAAATCTTCATCTTCATCTCCAACCAAATCAACATTGTTCAAGAAACAAACAAGTGATGGCACACCAACCTAAAAAACAGAGAGGAGAAGTGTTCATCTGCTCAGGACTGAAAAGGAGAAAATGCTATAAAGGGACAAATTGCCGCGGCGAATGCTGAGAATTTTTTAACCTGTCGAGCTAGAATAATATGCTCCCTTGTTTGTGGCATCAGGCCATCCATAGTTGACACGACGAGAATACCGCAATCCATTTGAGCAGCTCCCGTGATCATGATCTAAAATGTCCACAGCAAATCAAAAGCATACAAGCATCAGAGAAGTGCGCGGTAGACAAATTAAGGAAGCTGAAACCTATAGAATGCAAAGTTCAGATGTCGTAAGTAGCCATTCTGATATCAAGGATTATGCTGGTCAGCCACTCAGATTGTGAATATAACATGCATGGGATTCATTATTTCTCTAAAAAAAAGTACTTTTTCTAGATCATATACCTTGACGTAGTCGGCATGCCCCGGACAGTCCACGTGGGTGTAGTGCCTCTTAGCGGTCTCGTACTCGACACGAGCCTGCGTAAAACAACCCGAAATCAGCACTTGTCTGCAAGTGGAGATGAACATTGACCTTGTCTGCCCAAAAAATGATGCGGCAGCAAGCGCCGAGAGCAGACCATGGAGACGGCGATTCCTCTAGCTTCCTCCTCGGGAGGCTTGTCGATCTGGGCGTACGCCACCGGCTGAACCTGAAAGCTCCCCGCCTCGGCCAGCACCTAAAAAAACAATGCAATGCAATGCGTTCAGAATGCAGATCACACCGGCCAGCAGTTCAGGTGCACACAGGCGGACAGAAAATCAGCCGGACCGGCCAAGTCGTTGGCACGGCATCGAACCAGAGCACGCCGGATCTGACCTTGGTGATCGCGGCGGTGAGCGTGGTCTTGCCGTGGCCGACGTGCCCGATGGTGCCGACGTTCACGTGGGGCTTCCTGCAACACAGATTCGCCCGAGAGACCATTCAAACGCCAGTCCAGACCACGCACGAAACGAGAAATGAGAGGGAGCGAGGAAGAGCTAGCGGATCTGAGAAGCGGGGGCTCGAAGGAGTGTGCTCACGCGCCGGCGAAGGTCGCCATGGTCCTGATATCCCAAGCAGCAGCCGGAGAATCACACAACACAAAGAGGGAACGGAAAAAAGGTGTTGACCGAGAACGAAGGAGCTTGAGCAGCTCAGCTCAGCTGAGCTCATTCATTAACTACTAGGACTACGGGGGTGGGGGGCACGCGGGAGCATCCTCCGCGCACCACGGGTGACAGCACGAGGGGAGAAAGCGAGATTTTTCAGAGGCCGGCTTTCTCAGGGACTCCACAACATGGCTAGTTTTCTCGGTTTTTTTACTGTTTCCTTTTCATGTCCGTAGTCCGTACAGTGGGGTATACCACACGGGGAGTATCACCCTGTTCCTAAGATAAGACGTTTTCGATAATTCAGTATGAACTATGCATGGACTAAAATGAGTGAGCAAATACACTAAAATGCGTTTAGAAAAAAGTTATATCATCTTATAACTCGGAACGAAGAGACTGCAGCTTTACTATTAATAGTTAGAACACCTGTGCGTTGTCACGGTCCTTTTGTTTTATATAATAAAACTCGATAAATTTTTGGCCCCTTTCGACGATATCGTCTCTACACTCTTGTTCGGTGGATTCCTTTTGAATGTCGACATAATCCATACAGAAACAGCTTCCGCTAGGATTTGATGGCGGCGGCTCGACCAGACGGTGCTCTTCGCATCTCTATCCACAGGCAGAGCCCATCACGCGTCGGACGGCTGAAGAGGAGACCACAGCTTAAGAGCAGAGGAAGGCGGACACTCTCCGTGTCGCGGCGTCGTCGAGGCGGACTTTGGAGGACAGGCGGCAGAAGCCATGGAACAGGACGTTGTACATGTGCAACACGAGTCAGAAGAACTCTTGTGGTTCCCTTTTGTTTTTGGGACGACCGTGCTGTTCGGCTGGCAAAGCTTCGAAAACCAATCAGCAACCAGTCCAGGCCCAATGGCACGTTCGGGCTCTCGGGCACAAATGTCTGATTGCCGTCGATACTCGGTAGCACTCAATATAAAAACATGATAGGAAAACAACGATTTCATCAGCATCGTCAATATAAAATACAAGAGCGTGATAAAACAACATGTTAGGACAAGCTACGTGAAGAAAGAGTTTGTTGTGTTTTACATCGTGCGCGATAAAACTATCTAACATTTACTCTATCCATCTCAATATAAGAGCGTTTTTGATACTACACTAGTTTAAAAAATGCTCTTATATTATGGGACGGAAGGAGTATTATTCAGCATACAAGATACAAGATGGACACAGTTTTCACCAACCATACATTTGAAGACTCGGTGTTAATACATGACCCTACTTGAAGAACTGCCGAGATCAATAAATTAAGTTGAACCGCTAATAAATATATCAAATTTCTTTCATACTGATGCATCAGATAGTTGCCCACATTAAGTATAACTTCTAATACACAATAAACAATACTCCCTCTGTACCAAAATATAAGATGTTTTTTGGTACTCCCTTTGTATCCAAAAATGTCTTATATTTGATACAGAGGGAGTACCAGATTACCAGTATCTTCTAACATAGAAAAGGCAAAAAAATATAGTAACTCATCTTGTCCATCCAAATATCATGCACAGGAAAAAGAAAAAGAATATGAACATCCTGTATGTAGACCAAAGCAAACAAAATCTGCTAGTAATACATGGGATTTAAGAAGAAGAAGAAAACAGCTGATTCTACAAAGAATAATAAGCAATGTGCAGGCCAATATATATGAGCAGCAGCATTACTCTTCGACTTCCTTCTTTATTTCTGCCATCAGTTCATCCTTGTAATCCTCAAACGAGCCATCATATTTGCTCACGGTGCCATCCTCCACGACCCATATCTGGCTCTTCTCCTCATCGGCACAAACTCGAGATATCAAGCGCGAGTCATGGCTAAGCAAGACCACACCTCCCTTGAACTCATCGAGAGCATCTGCCAAAGCATCAATACTTTGCATGTCCAAGTGATTTGTAGGCTCATCCAGTAGAAGAATGTGAGGATGCGCCATTGATATCGAAGTGAACACAACACGGGCCTTTCTGACCACCGGATAATTTGACAATGGGAGTAAGATGGTTGTGGCCTGGCAAGCCAAATTGCCCAAGCATGGCACGGAGGATGTCCGCTCTGCTAATTCCCTCCGAGTGAAGCCTAAACAGATATTGAACCGCATTTTCGTCCATCGTCAACAGGTCAACAAAATGCTGCGAGTAGCGTCCAATCCTCAGCTTCTGGCTCCTTCTTGACTCTCCTTGGGCCGGGGTAAGATCGCCAGCAAGTAAATTTAGAAGAGTAGACTTTCCTGCCCCGTTGGGCCCAACAATGGCGACACGTGTTCCCATGTCAATGCCGACATCGACATCCGATAGCTTGAAGTCTGGCCGGTTGGGGTAGCTGAAACCCACTTCAATGAGCTGAAGGAGTGGTGGTTTGAGCACAGTAGGCTGTGGGAAGTGGAACTCAACTTTGTAATCACGGCACTTGTGTGGCAGATCAGCTGGCTACGTGTTATCATCATCAGTCGCGACATTCTTTCCCGTGCCCTTCCCCTTATTCGCTTCCCCATTGCAGTGTAAGAGAAAATTCAGCCAAGAAATAGAAATCATCTTTTGTGCTAGAGATAATCCAAATCTTAGAGCTAGTGCTTCTGTTCCCAGAGCATCAACGCACCAGTTAATCTTTCAATTTCCATCAACAGCGAATTTTCATTTGTCATCTTTGAATACAACGTCAATTGTGCCCCTCAGCAGATCATAATCAAAAGATGCATCAACATCAATTTAACAAACCCCATAGGAGGTCTACTCCATCCCCTATTTTCCTAGTTGCACTAGGGGAGTGGGCACTCACATAGTTCGCCTATATTGCACGAATCCCCATAAAAGTTTGGTACGCATCTTGAAATTTTTCTTCATGAACCAACTTACATCTATCTCACCATAAGTACCAAGCGGTACTAGCTATCATTTCACATGCATTCTGAATGCCCAATATCGATAAGTCATATTCTGGCATAAGGAGTAATAATTCAAGCCCATACCTCCTTAATTTTTTGGGACACACATCTTCCATCAAGCTATCCAATGCATCCTCTTTTGGTTATCCTCGTCACCCCATCAGAAATGCGTTATCACATCAATTATTCCTTTGCAAAAAAATAGAAATTTTAAACACGGACATGGCATAGGTGGGGATTGTTGGGGAACATAGCAGAAATTCAAAATTTTCTATGCATAACCAAGATCAATCTATGGAGAGACTAGCAACGAGAGAGAGGGGAGTACATCTTCATACCCTTGAAGATCGCGATGCGGAAGCGTTACAAGAACGCGGATGAAGGAGTCGTACTCGTAGCGATTCAGATCGCGGTTGATTCCGATCTAAGCACCGAACAACGGCGCCTCCACGTTCAACACACGTACAGCTCGGGAACGTCTCCTCCTTCTTGATCCAACAAGGGGAGAGGAGTTGTTGAGGGAGAACTCCGACAGCACGACGGCGTGATGGTGATGAAGCTCGTGGTTCTCCGGCAGGGCCTCGCCAAGCACTACGGAGGAAGAGGAGGTGTTGGAGGAGGGAGAGGGCTGCGCCAGGGGAAGGGTGCGGCTGCCCTCTCTCTTCCTCACTATATATAGGGGGAAGGGAGGAGGGGAGGCGCCCTAGGGTTCCCTAGGGGAGGGGCGGCGCCACAGGGGAAACCCTAGATGGGTTTGGGCGCCCCCACCCCCTAGGAAACTTTCCCCCCAAGCCGGGAGGGGTGGCTGCCCTAGGGGTGGCGCCCCCACCTCTCCTGGTTATGTGAGATGGGGTGGGAGGGGCGCTCAGCCCCTTAGTGGGCTGATGTGCCCTCTCCCCTTGGCCCATAAGGCCCCCCAACGCTTGTCGAGGCCTCCGAAACCCCTTTTGGACACGCTGGTCATCACCTGGTACCCCCGGAACAATTCCGGACTCCAATACCCTTCGTCCAATATACCGATCTTCACCTCCGGACCATTCCGGAGCTCCTCGTCATGTCCGAGATCTCATCCGGGACTCCGAACAACCTTCGGTAACCACATACTATTTCCCATAACAACTCTAGCGTCACCGAACCTTAAGTGTGTAGACCCTACGGGTTCGGGAACCATGCAGACATGACCGAGACGTTCTCCGGTCAATAATCAACAGCGTGATCGGGATACCCATGTTGGCTCCCACATGTTCCACGATGATCTCATCGGATGAACCACGATGTCAAGGATTCAAGCAATCTCGTATGCAATTCCCTTTGTCAATCGGTATGTTACTTGCCCGAGATTCGATCGTCAGTATCCCAATACCTCGTTCAATCTCGTTACCGGCAAGTCACTTTACTCGTTCCATAATGCATGATCTCGTGACTAACTACTTAGTCACCTTGAGCTCATTATGATGATGCATTACCGAGTGGGCCCAGAGATACCTCTCCGTCATACAGAGTGACAAATCCCAGACTCGATTCGTGCCAACCCAACAGACACTTTCGGAGATACCCGTAGTGCACCTTTATAGCCACCCAGTTACGTTGTGACGTTTGGTACACCCAAAGCACTCCTACGGTATCAGGGAGTTACACAATCTCATGGTCTAAGGAAATGATACTTGACATTAGAAAAGCTTTAGCAAACGAACTACACGATCTTGTGCTATGCTTAGGATTGGGTCTCGTCCATCACATCATTCTCCTAATGATGTGATCCCGTTATCAATGACATCCAATGTCCATGGTCAGGAAACCATGACCATCTGTTGATCAACGAGCAAGTCAACTAGAGGCTCACTATGGACATGTTGTGGTCTATGTATTCACACATGTATTACGGTTTCCAGTCAATACAATTATAGCATGAACAATAGACAAATATCATG